GGCGCTGCGCGGCTCGGCGCGCTCCGAACGGCTCTTCTGCTCGCCGCCTCGCTCGCTCTTTTTAAACAAAATCTCCGTTGTTGGCGGTTTGGGTTTTATTATTATTATTATTATTTTAAGTGTGATTTTTGTTGTTGTTGATGTTGCTGCTGCCGCCGCCGCTGCTGCTGCTCCAGTTAATCTGTCTCTCTCCCTCTCTCCGCGTCTTTTTGATCTTTCGCTTGCCTGGTGCTGGCTCGAACGCCGTGTTTGGTTTTGTTTTGTTTTTCACGCGTCTGATGTTCCCTCTCGGATCCGCAGTGGAAGGTCTCGGGGAAGCGGCTCGCTCCTCGCTTATCTTCCTCTCATCTCCTCCTGCTAATTTCCACCCCCCCCCCCCGCAAAATCACGACATTGTGGCACTTTCTACTGAAACTTTTATACAGGAGTTAAAAACCACGTGGGAACTCCAACCTATAACAGAGACGCCATGGGCTGCTCGCTATTTAGGAGATTAAGCTAAGTCTTTTGCCCCCTGGGCTATTACAGTAACTTCCTGATGTGGAAATATTAACTATGCTGCTGCTTTAACTCCCCCCGTGCCCTCCCTCCCTCCCTCGCTCGCGGTTCCTCAAACACACCCCCTGCTCCGCTCCGCTCCGCACCGCACCGCGCAGCGCAGCGCAGAGCCGCGCAGCGCAGCCCGCCCGGTGCCCGCGCAGCCCCCGCGCAGCCCTCGCTGCGCGCTGCCCTCCGGCGCCTGCAAGCAGCAGCCCTGGCCGCGGGGCTGGCTGCGCGACGGGGCGCGGATTTTTTTCCTCKCTTTGAGCGGGCTCCGTTTTGCGCGGGGCCGGGCGGGCGGCTGCGCGGAGACAGCGGCAGCAGCGGGCGGGCTCCGCGGGCCGGGGCCGCCGCGCAGCCCCGCCGCGCCGCGCCGGCGAGCGGAGCGGAGCGGAGCGGAGCGGGCGGCGGGGAAGCCTGGGCGAAGGGCGCCCCCTCTGGGCCGCGCCGGGAGCGGGCGGCGCAGCGGGACGCGCGGAGCCGCCGCCGGGGTGCGGGAGCCGCCGTCCGTCCCCGCGGCCCCGTGCGGGCCGCGCATCCCGCGGCAGGAAGGAGGGCGCATCCCGCACGGATAGCCCGCAACGACGGCCCTCGGCACTGCGCCCGCGCGCGGGTTTCGAGGGGCAGAACCAGGACACGCGTTGTCTGCGTGACCCCAACGAAGCGCCCGAGACTTTTGCCGCACGCCTCGGTTTTTAAAAGGAGAACAAACTTAGGTAGCGCCCGGCTGCACCCACATGTCAGGGTGAGCCCTGCCAGCGGTCACTAATAAACAAGGCAAGCAGAAGGACACTCCGATTATTACTGTGATTTAAGAAGATAATGGACAAATGCTATTCTATGTTACACTTTTTCCCCCTCTTTCTTGCTCTCTTTCTTGCAAGTGTAGACAAACACTTAATGCTGTTGCTCAAAATCACTTTACAATCCCAGTCTGCTTGCTCGTGTTGCTTTTAATGCAAACACAATCTAATTTCATACACAGCACTGTAAATGAAACCTAAATCCCCCGCCTCACCAGAACTACCTCACTGTGGGATCGGAAAGAGACACAGGATTTCCTCCCTGCCAGTAACAGGTTCTGAATGGGAAGGCTGAAATGCAAAAAAGAAATAATGCTAAAAATCCAATCACTCTGACATCCCGTAAGCTAATAAGAGCACGTGAATGCGACAAGCTTAGTGCTTCACAGTAATTAATTTGACAGCAAAGAGCTAACAAGAAAACAACAGGCAGAGCGGTGATGACTGGTTCATAGAGGTCACTGTCAAACAAGAAATAGGTGCAAACACAGCCCTTCTGCCCTCGAAAACAACCACGATCGCTGCCCTGGTGGAAATGAAATGCCAAAGAGGCAGAAATCATGTCTGGGGTGGAGATAACAAAACTGGGGAGGTATTTCTGAGCAAGGGAGAGATTTTCTTTCTCCAATATAGTAATTTCTGGCCATCCCCGGTAGTTACTACATGGCATGTGCAGGGTTTTTTGGGGGKTTTTTTTGGTTAGCCAAGGACTTTTTGCATATTCAGTCTTGGGTGGCTTATCTTATATAGCAATTACAAACCAACCAATATGCCAGCAGACACTATTGYTATTTAAAGCCTCCCCGACCCGCGGTTCGGAGGGCAGCCTTTAACCAAGGGCCCTTCTCCGGCTCCCCTCCTGGAGCAGAACTCACCCAAACCTTAGGCGCTTTCCAGCAGGAAGCCCTGCAGGGAAAGCAAACAGGGTAACAGCAAATAAGGAGCCATTTGCTTTCCAATCCTGCCTAGCGAGTGCAGCCTATTGATTGAGTCATGGGGCTCCGTTAATATTAAGCTCTCCCTCGTTTGCAGCTCTGTCCCTTAGGCATAGACTTGTTGCTTGCACATAGTAGCTGAATTATTAGCTGAATGTGGTGGCTTCACACTCCCCTCGCGCCGCTCTGCTTCCCGCCTCCCCTTTATTCTGTTTGCTCTGAGCTCCTCTGCGTGAGGATACATTTTCACACACACCTTCTCAAACCGGCTGCTATTCATCTGATTCAGGGTCATGCTTTTCCATACATTAAATGCAGGGGAAGACTGGGAAGGGAATGGCTGGGAGCTGTGCTTAACGGGCAAGCACACGTTCAGCGAGGAGCCCTGCTGCAGGAACGTACAGTTTTGGAGGGTGTTTTCTGTAGGCGCATCCATCTCATGACTGGGAGCTGGGGCTTATTAAAGCTGCTGGTCTAATTAAACCGTTGTGAAGTTAGAGCCTCATCCTGGGTGAATGGGCAGGTTTCTGAGCAATCACACTGCTGTAAGCCTTCCTATAACCGAGGTATCTGTGTGTGCACCCTTCCCTCGGGAGGGAGGTGGCAGATGCCCAAGTCACCAGCTCAGAGGGGTCCCTCAGGTCACCTCACAGTCACCAGGGGGTCTGAGGTCTGCTCAGAGGGGCAACACACCAGGCAGCTCCCTCACTGTGCACTACTCTCCTCATGYCCCCAGTGGAAGTATAACCAAGTCCATGAGCTGGGGATCCAGCCCCCCGCTGTTCCTAGAGCGCCCTTCGTGCCGCGGCTCTGGTAGGCAGCCTTGCTAATCCCTTCGAGGAAGGGTTTGTGGTACTGATAGCTGTACTGAATAAAGCTTCCCGTCTAAGAGGCCCAGTTTGCACTTCAAATGCTTCCCCTTCGATCCCAGCAAATGCCAGTTCAACTATCACAAGCGTCCTTTATTTTTTTTCCCCCAAAAGCATTTTCCAGATAAAATAGGCTATACTGGCAAAATTCACCCTTTTTTTTTTTCTTTTTTGCTCATATAGCTGCAATCTACTTGGGGGATTTTTGCAAGTAGTGGAATGCAATCTGTTTTAAATGGCACTTCAAAACAGTGCTGCTATCCCACAGAAGTTGCAAGGCTAGACCTTGAAGTACAAGCTTCTGCCCTGCATCTGAAGGAGCTTTTCTGCCATTTTTTCTACCATTTTTTCTACCATTTTCTGCTACCATTGTCATCCCTCTTTAAAGACAGCGAAATGGAGACAGACAGTTGCTGGGACGGGCTCAGGGTGCAGCTCCCTATCTGGAATTTTTATTCATGCTATTCTCGCACTTTAGATGAAATTATGTATTCATAATCAAATTGATACCTTACTATGCAAACACTTAAAAAAATGCAGTTGTCCCAAGAACTCAAGAACACCCAAATTCTACAGAATAGAAGGAATTCTATGGGTATGTAAAAATCTTATTGACAAACTTGTAGGCGGACTCCATTCTGAATGAGCTGAACATTTTCTGAGACTCAAGTCATGAAAAAAAACCTAAGAGGTTAATGTGGCTCTCTTGCTCCCAAATTCTGCCACRAAATATTAATAGATTTACTGTCTCTGAAAACAGAGTCCTGCTCTGAGCGCTACTTGGAGAAAAGGCTGTATCAGGCAGCAACTAATGCTCTGACCCAACGGGAGCTTTTTCTGTGAAGCAGGTAAARCGAGGGGCTGGAAGATGAGTCGAGGAGAAATGCCAAGCGTGTGTGTGTGAGGGACAGGTTTAGGGGCCAGCACGGATTTTGAGGATCAACTGTTGAAGCCCGGCTCCGTGCAGGAGCAGCGTTGGGACGGGTATGTGGGGGAGGCCGGGAAGGGTCGGGAATACTCACAGCCTTGTCTCCTGCTCCGGCCGCGTGGCTTCACAGCGGGCGCGGGGCCCGTCACTCAGCCCAGCTCTGCCGGCAGCCTCGCGCCGCCGCCAGACAGCGCCCGTCGTCCTCACGA